ATTACATAGATTTTTATGAACGAACTACATAGAAACGGAAGTTATGCGGCGACCTCTCTGTCTCTATCTTTTGCGGAAATATTTCGTGAGCAAAGTGTGCTCAAATGTATGTGTTTGTTGTGAACGGGATGTGTGTATGTGTATGCATGATGTTTTGGTGCTTACTGCTTCGTGAAATGAGAGAGCAAGAGAATCTCTATGTATTTTATATGATGGCGCAGATGGAAAAGATTTTTAGAGATTTGTTATTTATGGTGAAATAAATTTGTTTTATTGGTCTGCTTGTGCAGTCACAGCAAATGGCAGGGCTGTTTATATGCTTTTGCTATACTTGTTCCTTGTTCGGTGTGTGCTTTTTTTCTGCACTTCATTCGTTCATCTGTGTCCCTGTTTCTGCTCCACAATGCCACTGTATATGCTTCATCTCGTTTTCGACTCTCGGTTGTTGTTGTTGCTTTTTTTTTGTTGGTTCACAGAATATAAATAAAACATTCTCAACGTTTGCTGAATCAACGGCAGTGCTTTTATTTTTATATTTGTTTATCGTTTTGGGTCTTTGGCCCGTGTGCTGCTACTATTTGTACTGGAGCACGAACCAAAAAATCAATACAAATCGTTTGGCAAAATGAGGCTAAAACCAAAGCACCCATGATCAACAACATCTAGAGCAATGGCAACCAGCAGCAGCGACAGCAGTCGCAACATCGAAATATGGCAGACATAAATAATCGCTCAGTTTTTGAATTGAGGAAGCGAAAAAGTATGGAAAAAATGCACATTAAATTTTTAAATGAATAAAAATAGAATCGAGTCAGGTCGACTCTCAAGGATATTTGAGAGGAGAAAAAAACAACAGCAGCAGCAGCAGTTATTTTCATAGCAACAAACAATTTTCGGAAATGATTTGGAAAAGTGTCTTGTGATTTTTAAATGTTGCAGTGCAATTGTGTAAAATGGATTTTAAATCGCAAATATTTGTGATTCATATGATTGAGAATGTTTGTGTTGGTTTGGCGGAATGAGAAAAAAAGTCAATTGTTGACGCAGTATGTATTAAATGATGTGCAGGTTTTCATAAGTGGGCACTTGAAGTAAAGTGAACTGAAAACATTGAAACCAGAGAGTGAACCAGCGTTGATGACGACGATATTTACAGCGACATCGTTTCCTATAATTTCGTCGATGGTAACAGCATTACATATTTTCAAGCAGCGACAACAGAAGCGAAAGGAAAACACTTGACTACTTATTTATGTAAACACTTTGCACTTAAAAACATGGAATCATTTTAAGCCATCTACCACAAAATGAGGGAATATATTGACAAGATTTTGATGCTATGATGATCAGAGCATTCTATCTGAACAGAGTCTTGTTATTTTTAATATTGAACGAAAAGTCGGTGCACATGCTTTTAGTGCATGGTTTCCATTAATATTTCGCTCTGTCTCTCTTTCTTTTTCGTTCAATTTTCCATTCGGTTATTGTTTTGGCATTGTTGTTCACTTTTTGCACTTGTTATCGCGCACTGTCTCAGCCATTTCGTTCCCTTCGAATCAACCGCACACCGCGAACGGGGAGATTTCAGCAACATAGAAAAGTCGGATTCACATTAAGTGCTTGTTCGAGGTTTATATTTGATTTTATAATTAACTGAAGTGCGCAAGAAATTTCTTGCTTGTGTTTGTGGTTTGACACAGTTTAAGGCGGCGCTTGAGCGAGATTCTTTTTTTATTTTTTGAAATTTGCGGTTTAATGGCGAACAATATTTGTATCGCATTTAATTATATTTTTACTTTATGTCGGCGATAGCAATTGTAGTTTGTTTAAAAGCGATTAATTGTTTTTGATCAAAAGCGCCGGATTTGTGTGTCGGCTTCAATTTTCGAAATAGAATCATTTCAATTCAATGTGCTAATGCAATCTCAATGCGACTTGAACAAGTCCAAGGTCTCAGGTGCAACTTCGTCTCCCTCTCTCATTCGCTGGAGCACACAATACATTTATTCGAATTGGTGTGCTAAATCTGCCAAAATGCACAAATTTCTACCTAACTCACTCTTTCTACTTTAACTATTAATCCAGAGTGAACTGCTCAGCTCTGTTCGAAAAAAATCGATAGAATAACTGCAATGATGTATATAAGCGAGCGCGAAAAAACGAAAAAACTGTATTATTTATGAAAAATAGAAAAAACGCAAAAATTTCGTATAAAAGTTGTGATGGTATCGATTCATGGGCGACACGAGGTGAACAGAATAAATCGCAAACTGAAACAAAAAAACAATCGTGCCTTCAAGAGAGAAACACAATAACAAAAAAAATGAAGTCAAAACGTCGCAGTATATTGTCACGTACACAATCTTAGCAAGCATTGAACGCGATTTTGCTTGAATTATTTCGATTCAGTGTTCCAAAAGTGAAAATGAACACTGTAACGACGGAAACGAAGTGAATCTGACGATGTATTCCCAAGATGAAGTTTCATTTCATGAACGAATTTCGCAAAATACTACCAGTTTCTTAGCTTGGCGAAAAATTGCGAATAAGAAAGAGGCAGAGAGAGAGAGAGAGAAAGAGGCAAGAAAGAGAATATAAAAAATCTTGGTAAATAAATCTTGAACGACGATGCGGAATAAGAGATTCACATAAAATGAAAGCATATCAACCTAGGAATAATGTCGGAGAAAGAGAGAGCTCATATAATAGTAGAAAAGTTTTTTTTTCTCGTGATAAGTGCAAGAAAGGAGCTAGAAAAACGCACACGACCAAAAACTGAAATGAGGTAAACTTATTTAATAATTCAATGCACGTTCCGCGGCGTCTAGTCCAATAAAACCCGAGATTCGGTTACATCTCTCTTTCTCTTTGGTTCCAGTAGTTGTGTGTGAGTGTGTTATTTTTTGTACTTGGACCAGCGCGACACAACAATGAACACTGCTAAGTTCCATCACCCAGAGCGCACCAGTGCAAACAAACACCTTCTCAAATGTTGTTGTTAGCGTAAATAAATTATTTAGCATTTTTCATGGTATTCACAGTTGATTTTAGGTGTGAGCGGTAAGAGAACAGCAACCGGCATAAAATTTAGCACCACCATATCACCATAGCAAAATCAGTTCGCCATTTCAATTGCTGTAAAAAATGGTAAAAACTTTTTCTATTCACATTTGTTTTTGTTTCGTCTTCATTCTCGCGAAACTTATTTTGCATAGTCATTTTGGATTCTTTTTTTTATATAACATCTACAGTTCACGTTGTCTCGAATGATTTGAGTGAAGAGAACGACATTTCGAGACAATGGGCGTGTGCTTATGGTTGATCGTAAAAATATTCAATAAGATTCTGAAATTTTGATTGCTTGAGTGCATTCGATAGATGAAACAATGGCATAAAATAGCACGTGGCTGAAAATCAAAAATTCATTTCGGCCAAACTATAAAACGTCGAAAGGATTTCGAGGGGATTCATTTTTTTTTTTTTGAATAAAAGAGGGATGAAAACAAGTTTTTGCATAAAATCGCATGCTCGACTATCATAATGCTCGAAATGACATCGGAAAACGAAATGAAGAAATGGATTTGGTTGAAGAGAATCTGAAAATGCCGTTGTTAATTTATGAATTTATTACATATTGCGGTCACATAAATGTCTTTATGGTTGCATTTTTATTCGATCGTTTGTTTCAACATTATCCATTCTGTCATAATAATAACCCACTACAATCTTCACTACAATAGCGGACTCCGTTAGCCCCGTTACGTGCCCATATAATGTGTTTTGTTGGTAGTAAATTTTTCCTTAAATTGTCATAGTAAAATTGGTTGCAGCGATTTGACCATTGCCATATGCGACATCATCAACAAACCATGCCGGAATGCTTTCCATAAAAGAAAACCAAAATTCTTTTACCCCCTCCGTCGTCTTGTTTAGTCGTAAAATAGACAACGAACACAAACGTCTCTCGCGTCGAAAGTTCGCGTGCAATATTTTATAGTAATTTCCTTGCAACGAAATCAAAATACCAGCTGACTTTAATATATCAATTGAAGGACGACGCTATATGAAAGAAAATAATAATGGCATTCTGTCCAAAATCAAATTAACTTCGCTTATGTTTTTAATGGAATCTGACACAAGAATGGCAATAATCGTAATTTTTCTAATTTCAACGTATAAATTAACGAAATTAGAATATTATGACGGTGTGTGATTGTCAACGACGGAGTACCAAAGAACGAAACAGCTACTACATCAATTTCTATCGTTGGATAAATAGGCACGGCTGCTAAAACGAAATTCAATCTCTACGACTAATAGACACGTGCTGCTGATGAACAAGAGAACAGTAACACTACAGTCGAACACTTCCAGAGATATTGAACAAGCTCAGCCCAAATGGAAAACAGGCTCTCACATCAAATCACTTTAAGTGATTTAATACGGAAAGTCTGCTAAATCAAAATAAACACTCCTTCGAACCATTCGACTTGGCTGGTGCAGTTGGGCCATTCACTCAATGACTGACTGACTAGCAGTCTGCCATGATCACGTGCTACTCTCGATAATTTAATTACGAATATAAGCGATGGTAATCGATATTTTCTCTGGAGTATAGAGACTCACCCAAAGTTAAAATAAAGACTCTTGCATCAAATACTGTGAATTTCAGCACCACTCTGAATTTCATAATTAACATATTTTCGTGTAATAGAGAGACTATGTCTCTAGTCTTGAAAAATTGGGGCTTGAATTTTGATTTATCAAAATCTTGCTCTTTTATTTTCACTGGGATTTGAGCTCACTTTAATCCTCACCCGTTCATATATTCAAACGAAAACATGAGTTAAACGCATGATAACAAAAAAATCCTTAAACAAATATAACAAATTGTATGTTATATTACGTTAATAGACATTCTTTCGTCGCTTAAAACACATTTTATTATCATTATAATTTGAAATAACGCATTTGGGCGATATAAATTTTGTATATAGGTCGATTATGAATCCATTTTGCTACAGTCGTAAATTGACGTCTCTGGAGAAAAAATGAAGCTGTTCCTAATTTTAACATTTTTATGTGCTTCAATATTCAACCAGGTACCTTATTTTTTTGTCTTAATAGTTGAAACGACAAAGAAGTTTTTTAATCAAAAACATATTTTTCAATAATTGATTTCTTTTTTCAAAAATGTTGTTTAGTTTGTGTTGATCAACTGTCAAGGGGGTAATAGTGGGTCCTACACATCACTTCTACAGCAATTGAACATTAAAGCCGGAAGAAGTAATTTGGCAAGGAAGCTTCAACCATTTTTCACTCTCGAAAGGGGAGGCGTCGCAAAGATTCTAGAAGGAACTGAACTGACTATTGATTCATGGGTAACATTCTTCACAAAAAACATAACTTTCTCCTATATTCATGCAGATGAAATGTGTAGGAAGAGAGTTAGTTCCGAAGTCAATGATAATCTTTGCGAAAGATTATGCAATGTGCTTAATGCTTATAAGGAAGATGTCATGAATATTGGCAAAGTCTATCATGATATCTTCTTAGTGTACTTATTCGAACCAACTGCCGATGAAATAAAAGGATTCAATTCAGCTCTCGTTGAATTCAAGAAAAAAAGATTTGAACGCGAGTCAGAGATTAATGGTGAATTAGAAAATATGCAAACTACATACCATCAATTGGTGAATGAAGTCAATGCCAAAATTGATCAATCAGTTACCCTGAATAATCAATACAATGCACAAGTAACATCATTCAAAAATGAATTGAAAACCCTTTTTTTGCAAACGAAGAAAATTGATGGAAGAAAGTTATATGAGTCTGCGCAATTGGATGCACTAAACACTGCTCTGACTGCACTACGAGAAAAACAACTAGAATTAGCAACATGTCTTCAAAATCTACTCTCAGCTATTCAAGCTTATAATGATCAACGCATCAAATGGGCTGGTTTTTTGATGAATACAAGTCTTCCACCAAGGCCTCAAAACAAACTTGGAGTTATGGGACATTAAAAAAACAGTCTAAAATTATGAATTGAATATCAAAATAAAAAAATATATGATTAAATCATCAAAATAATTTGTTTCATTTTAATAAGCATAATAAGCAAGAAGAAATAAGCAATGCAAAAAAAACCTTGAATCCACCTTGGAACCGAGGAAAACGAATGAAATCTAAATCAATGGAATTCTTTAAAGTCTACTAACGTGTGTTTTGACCATGGGGTCAGTCACGAAATTCTAGTACATCTAGTTTTTAATAAGATTTCACTAGAAAACTAGAAAATTCTAATGCGTGAAGTTGGCTCTCAGTAGTTTTTCATATAAACTATATGGCCTTTGGTGTGAAGTTGGCTTCGTTTGTGACGTCATTATTCGCACTAGATTTACTAGTTTTTCTAGTATTCACTAGCGTGATTCGCCCCATGGTTTTGACGATAAGAGTGGAAAATTTCAACTTAACATTCGCAATACTTATTTTGTATTTGTTTCGAGTTTGAAAAAAAAAAATTAAACATTTTACAGCCTCATTACAAAATTTTCCTTAAAACCAATTTTAATTAAAATTCTCTTACAATAAGTCAATAGAAATTCACTACTCTTAAGAACACGCTTTGTTTTCATTTTTTAATGGAAAATTACATCTTTTGTCTATGACGCCAATGAAATTTTGTATATAAATCGGTTCTGAATGTATTTTGCAACAGTTGCTTATCTATTTATCGGCATACAAATCAGTATCTCTGGAGAAAAAAATGAAGTTGTTTCTAATCTTTGCATTCGTGTGGAGTTCCATATTCAACCAGGTATAGCATCGTTTCACTAGCTTTATCAAAAATTTATTATTAGTTCAAAATGTTGATAATATTTCATCTATGTATTTTTTTAATCACAAATTTTGTCCAGTTCGGATCTGTTAACTGCCAAAGTGCAGTATACTCTGCACTCCTTGAAGAATTGAATATTAAACTTGGAAATGATAGTGATTTGGTGAGCAAGCTTCAACCATTATTCTCCCTTCCATCTAGAGGTCTTATAAAACTTCGAGAAAGACGTAAATTAAGTAGCAACAAATATGTTGAATCATATCTTAAAGAAGCGGCGACTATATCCTATATTCATGTAGAGGAAATGTGTAGGAAGAGAGTTTGTACCGAAGTCAATAATAATCTTTGCGATATATTATGCGATGTGCTCAATGCTTATAAGGAAGATGTCACAAATATTGGCAAGGTCTATCATGATATCTTCTTAGTGTACTCGGCCCAACCAAGTGTCCATGATATAAACAGATTCGAATCAGCACTCAATGAATTCAAGAGAAAACAATTTGAACGCGAGTCAGAGATTAATGGTGAATTAGGAAGTATGCAAACTAGATACCATCAATTGGTGAATGAAGTCAATGCCAAAATTGATCAATCAGTTACACTGGTAAAACAATATTTGGTACAAGCAACATCATTCAAAAGTGAATTGAAAACCCTTTTTTTGCAAACGAAGAAAATTGATGGTGAAAAATTATATGATTCTGCGCAATTGGATGCACTAAACACCGCACTAATTGCACTAAGAGGAAAACAACTAGAATTAGCAACATGTCTTCAAAAGCTACTATCAGATATTCAAGCTTATAACGATCAACGCATCGAATGGGCTGGTTTTTTGTTGGATACAACACTTCCACCAAGGCCTTCAAACAAACTTGGAGTTATGCAAATTTAATAATATAATCCATAAATTGATTTATTTTTATTGTGATCCCAATAAAAAAGACGATGAAATCATCAAAATACATTTACTTGAATTTTTATTCAAACATACTCGTGCAAGTTAATCTGTTAGTTCATCTATTAACAAAACCGCCATACCCTTTAATCGATCTTGAGATATCATTGAATGAATGAACAGTAATAACATCTTGAGAGAAAATCTCGAAATAAAAATTAGCATTCATCAGAAAATATTAAGTCTCTCTTTTGTAGAGTAAAACAACAAATGAGTAATACTTAAAACCCTACCTCTTGAACGACGGAAAACAACTGAAATTCTTCAAACATCAACGTCTTCGGCAGAATAATAAAAAACTTGTTTTGTATTTGTTTTAATTTTGACACATTATTCACAATTACTTCGGAAAAACATGTCACATCATCATCAATTTGCCTTAATTTTTTTTAAATTTTTTTAATAATTCAATGAGTTCAAATAAAATGTCTGAGTAATACGTCAAGCGACATTTCTTCGCCTTTTGAAAACTCATTTCATTGTTATTATTTTTTTTATATCGATTTACGTCTTTAATCTATTGCGCGAGATAGTCGATTCTGAATCTATTTTGCTACAAGTACTTATCTACTCAACTGCTATCTCTGAAGAAGAAAAATGAAGCTGTTCGTAATTTCGCTATTCGTGTGGTGTTCAATATTCAACCAGGTAAACGTCAGCTATATTTATCAGACAATATATTGAACTAACTGGTCAGTTGAGCTGAAAGTACATTAGCTAACTAAATGGACTAAAACAATAGAAGTTATTGTTATAATGAACAATCACTTCTATTAAAACAAGAAAAGTGATTCATCATTAAAACAATAACGTCTATTGTTTCAGCCCATTTAGCTGGCTAACGTACTGTCAGCTCAACTGACCAGTTAATTCAATATATTGTCTGATATTTATATAGTTGAATTTTCTCTATCGAAACATTATTTTCTAACATTTTTAAGATTTTAATAAAAATATTCAATTTTTTTGAAAATCATAAATCATGTTCAGTTTGATTTTGTCTGCTGCCAATGTTATCCTGCAGTCTACTGCGAACTACTTGAGCAATTGGACAATAAACTAAGTGAAGAGAGTGATTTGGTAAGCAAGCTTGAACCATTATTCTCTCTTCCACGTGAAGGTCATGAAAATCTTCGAGGAGGAGTTATATTATCAACCTGGGTTGAGTCATTTAAAAAAGCGGTGACTATCTCCTATATTCATGCAGAGGATATGTGTAAGAAAAGAGTTAGTACCGTAGCCAATAATAATCTATGCGATAGACTATGTGCTGTGCTCACCGCATACAAGGAAGATATTGTAAAAATTGGCAGATACTATTATGACATACAACTGGTATATTCGGTCGAACCAAGATACTATGATATAGAAGGATTCGAATCGGCACTTAATGAATTTAAGAGAAAAAAATTTGAACGCGAGTCAGAGATTAATAATCAATTAGAAAGTATGAAAACTACATATCATCAATTGGTAAATGAAGTCAATGCCAAAATAGATCAATCAGTTATTGTGCAAAGACAATATTTGTTACAAGTTAAATTATTCAAAAAGGAATTGGAAACCTTATTTTTGCAAACGAAGAAAATTGATGGTGAAAAATTATATGATACAGCGCAATTGGATGCACTAAACACCGCACTAATTGCACTAAGAGGAAAACAACTAGAATTAGCAACATGTCTTCAAAAGCTACTATCAGATATTCAAGCTTATAATGATCAACGCATCAACTGGGCTGGTATTTTGTTAGATACAACACTTCCACCAAGGCCTTCAAACAAACTTGGAGTTATGGATATTTAATAATGAAATAATTATGAATTGTTAAAATATTTTGGGCCATTTTATGATTACAATAAAGAAAACGATGAAATTATCAAAAAAAATTATATATTTTAAACTCATCGATAAGTTTTATATTCCAATTTTTGCGTGAATTTTGTCCCCAGAATGACAGAAAACAAATGAAATTCTTTACCATCATTGGAATTTTTCCAAAATTTAATAACGTTTGTTTCAACGTTAATTTAATAATTCTTTGTCTCTTGAACTTCTATGCATAAAAAAATGTGGAAGAAATAATTCGATGCGGTGGAAAAATTTCGAGTGGTAGAAAATTTATTTTGCGTTTACTTCAATATATCAAACTAAAAGTAAATGTCCGTCTCCCTCACTTTTTTCGTTCATTTTTTCCAAATTAAAAAATACGAAAATTGAATCAAATCACCCTCATTTCTCGATAAAACGGCGCACCGTCAATGATTATTGTCTTTATTAACTCTTATGCATATGTGATTTTTGATTCGATTTATGTAGTGTGTAGTATTTTTTTTTATTTTATTAGAAATTCAATACGCCTGGAAAGAGAGCACAAAGTGTATTTACGAATTTAAAAAGTGCATCGTACCACAGAGACAAAAAACGATGTGAACTACAATTGGAGTATAGTTTGCTGAGTGATGTCGATGCTCGAGAAATATAATAATTTCATTTTCTCACACGCGCATTTATGTGCTGGTGCAAAACGGCAACATTAAAAAAAGCTAATGTGTCAAGACCCTACCCAAATTTTATATTATATATTTTTTTTCACTCCTGTTATTTGATTGAAAACATTGTGCGCGTACGTCGGCAACGAAACGAAGTGGCATCAACGTTGCTGGTACACATTCGAAAAAAAAGACGGAGTGCGCGCGTACATCACAGAAAGATGTCCCAAGAGATAAAAACGCCTAGTATTGTTAATTTACACAATGAACTCTGTTGATGTGCACACGATTCCCATCCTATAGATATTTTGTCTAGTAACTCTGACAAAGACCAATATTTAACTGTTGATTCTTGTGTCTCGTGAAAAAAAAAAAATACACACGAAGGCATTGCAGACTTGATATTCAGCAGTAATCATAATCACATACACCAAATGGTGGTAATCAATAATATGTGTCGTTGCTATGCATTGCTGTGCCCACGTTTCCATTTAAATGGTGTATAGTTCAAAGGACTCTCGTTTGCTATAAATCGTGAATATTAGTTTGGCAAGCACTCAAACACGCATTGCGCGAGCACACACACACAAATCTCTTAATTTAGTGCTCATGCTTTAAAGTCGTTGCATGTCCAAAAAAAATATTCCCATAATAATAATTTTTATGGTGAATTCCCATTATAAATATTTGTCTGTGTTTGTGTGTGTGAGTCGGTGAATAATTGACATCGAAAATGCTGAGAATAATTCACCGTCCAGAGATCAAGTATCTAGAGATTGAAATACATTAAAGCAATGGAAAAATAGAGAGCAAGGTGCGAATCTAGTCACATTTCCGAGAGTTCAATTTTGAATGCATAAACATTTTGCCTTCTTCTTGGCCAGCCACATTTTTTGTTCGTGAAATAAAAAAGGGTACGCGATTGTTATTGTTGTGCACGCGTTGCGCATGTTGTTTTAAATATCAAGTGATATTGATTCTGGCATTTAACTCGAGGACATTCGCATACAATTATCCGAATGGAATTGTAACCATTTATGACTCAAGTGTGTAGGAAAACATGTGTCGGATTTAGACCGATGATAATGATCTCAAACCCTATACAAAACGAAGCGAACAAGTCTCGTTTTAAATAAAAAATAACAAGCCCAAATGCCAAATCGAAACAAGTGCCATACGATTTACAATGGATTAGTAATGTTATTTATGAAAACCGGATTTTGCCGATTTAATTCGGCTCAGTACAAAATGATTCGCTAAATTTGTGTGGTTTCCATTTTAAAATGGATTCAAACCTTAGACTCTAAAGTGAAGTCCATTTTTAAAAAAGGTTCAAATTCACGAGAAAAAAAATCGAATTCACGAAAAGAAAGGTAAAAATAGACATGTGTATTCAATAGAAAAAGAAAATATCCATATGAAAACATGGTTGTTTTGTTTGAAAACATTTTTACTTTGATTATTTACTAAAGAGATTGAGTTTCGAGGTTCAAATCATACATTATAGTTCAAAGGATTGCAAATTGATGCGTATAGAATACATGAGAATTGATAGGGTTGTTAAGCCTTCGATGACATTTGCACGATTGCGATTAGGAATTAATTACAAAATCGTTTGATATTCCCCAGCGATAGAATGTTAGCATCTCTTGAAATGTGAATTGATTGATTACTATCCCCATCAGAGTTGTATTTCGAAGAAATCGACAATCATAAAGCATCGAATTTCATGTGTATCGAAATATTCACAGCCAATGACGACTGTGAATCAATTTCGAAACTAGTGTCCAAGTCTAAGATTTACCCGAATAGGAGCAGAAATTGAGTGAAACGATTGTGACACAATTATCTGTGAATTTGGTGTATGAGTGTATGTGTGTGTGTATGTTGAAACAAAAGTGCAATCATCACCTGCTGTGAGACAAAGCAGTTTGATTCTATTTGCAAACTACTCCAATACACTCGCTCGCATTCGTTTGCAATTGATAAATTTACCGAAACAGAGCAAACATAGAAATAATCCATTGAGAGTACTTTACGTAATTGCCTTTTGCCACATCTTCTTGCACATTTTCTCTTTTTTATTTTCATTTCCTATGATTGTTTCGATTCATTTTCCACAACAATTGCGTCGTCGCACAGGCTCTTGTCCTCTACGAACAGCTGTGTATGGAGTATTTTGCCAACATTTAATGTCAAATGATGCTCAAACCGGGGAACATTCACATTAACATTATGGGCAAATTAAACAATTTCAAAGCAAGTACACAATAAACACATTCCACTCTCTGTCTGTGCTCCATGGCCAAAAATCAATTTTGCACAAATCCATTGTGCAGAGTAATCAATGCTGAAGACTCGTTTGATAGTGATTTTTTTTTTGCGAAAAGTTGCAAACTCCAAACGAAGTTGTCTAATTCAGTTATTCGTATATTCCCGATCGATTTTGCTGCGCATTCGATCGCCATTAGCGTACGTTTTATTATCGAAAACAAATCGAGATAATAGAGTGATTTCAGCGTATAACTCAACCTAATTGAATTACAAGTTTCCGGGCAATTTTTTTTTCGTTTCGCTCTTTATTTGATATGGTATTGTCTTTGTCTGTTGTAAATGCATCCATCTGCCCGGGTGTAAATCAGTAAAAACCGATTTATGACTAGATATGGATAAAATTGAGCTACTGCTGATGGTAACGTAATACTGTCGACAATCGGAAATAGAATTGATTATGTTGGTTTTTCCATTATTTGTGAAGGTTTGGTAAAACGCATCGGCGACTGGTGTGTATTTGATGTGAAATGAACCGTACCCCCAGATCATATTTCTGGAATAATTCTATTATCATTGTGTGGGTTGTCTTGCGCGAGCACCCGCAAATCATATACATTTTTCTGCCATAAAAATCAATAAAGTGTGGTTTTAGGGAAGTGATAATTTCAACGACAATGACAATGTCTCAATAAAGACACAATTTTTAAAATTCAATTAAATTTGATCGAGCCGAATGGAAAAACAGAGAAAAGATTTTTAGCTAATTACATTATTTTTTTTTTGTTCCCTTCACTTAGAACTATAATTTATTACTTCACTCTTGCGCCCAGACTTCGGTATACAAACTAAATTTTGCCATTTCAAACAAAATCAAATACGTGGATAGAAATGCTTACCGGTATGAATGTAGGTGTGTTTTTTCATGTCACTTTTTTGGTGAAAACGTTTGCCACAGTAACTGCACGGATATGGTCGAGTATCGCTGTGAATTAATAAATGTGTAGATAATGTACTTGACCGTTTAAAGGCTTTTCCGCATTGTTTGCATTCAAACACCTTTTCCACATTGTGAACGGCCCTGGTACAAAATAAACGTTCAAATTATTATTTTGTTTGTTTCTTTTATTAACTTATTTTTTTTTTATTGAAAATTCATGGTTCGGAACGTACCTGTGTTGACTCAAGCTAACTTCGTGGCCAAATGTTTTATTGCATAATTCGCACGCAAATGGACGTTTTCCGTTGTGCGAACGGCGTGAATGTACTTCTAAACCGTGTGGTGTTGAGAACATCTTTTCACATTTAACACACGAATAAACGTCACCAAGCGATGGTATTCCGGGCCGCATAAATAAGTGATGATGATGATGATGCATGTGATGCTGTTGGGCAAAGCTTAAATGTGCAGCGGCCGCATTTGGTCCTTGCAATCCAGCTGCTGAAGATGTTGATGTTTGTGAGACAAGATTACGAAATCGAAGCAAATCATCGTGTCCAATGGGTCCGTAAGCGCCAGCCGGTGCATTTGGCTGTTGACCTTGATGGAAAGCAACCGCTGCCAACCATGGAAATGTATGGAATAGCGGTCGATGATGCAACATATTTTGGTCATAAATTGGCGGGTAGTTTGACGAAGTGGTTGTACGGAATGCATCAAATGCCATATTTGTACTCGGTGGCGATTTAACTGGAGCACGAGGCCCATCTTCTCTTAGCAGCGCTGACATCGAAAATGTTTCCGATTTCTTGACCACATTCTGTTAACATACAAATGATTTAACGTTTTCAAAAGAAGTTTTTTTTATTTTTCACTTAATGAAAAGTCTTATTTTTACAAGAAAAAAAAATAGTTTTGATGAAAAAAGTTTTATTCACCTGAAAAATATTGGTTGTAGTTGGTGATTCGTTCATTCGCAATGGTGGCGGCGGTGAGTCCACTTCCAATTCGGGTGAAACTGAACATGAACGAGTTGGTGATCGAGACCGTGACGAACTGCGTGACTTTGTACATGAATCTTTGCAGCTGGATTCAACTTCTGAATGCGGTGTAACTTTACCATTTGTTTCTTGTGTGCGATGATGATTTCTTTGTTCGTAGGTGTTGTTGTTGTCTTCATCATCTGAATCTGGCCCTTTCACCAAACGACTTATACTGAAATTAAGTTGTTCTGTCGACACAAGCACAGAAATTAAAACAAATGTACATGATTAATGATACGTTCTTGAGAGATGATAATGCGAAAATGCTTAATAAAATATTGATTTAGGCGCTAATTATTCTCGCCCATAAATATTAAATACGAATTAAATTAAATGTTATCCCTTATTGGACTGAGGAGACATTTTTTTGTGTATGTAGATGCAACGAATCGATACGGTTAATTTATTACGCCTTTTGTTAAACGAGTATCGAATTCAATGTGTATGCATTCATAACCCTTCGTCGATTAAATCGCTTCAACTTTCCGCTTCATCAAACTGGATACAGATGGACGGGAACGACGACAGCAGCAACAGCATTGGGCAAAAATATGAAGAAAGAGAAGGAGGATGACAAACGAATTGACTGATTGTCATCATTGTGTGTTGTTCTGTAGCCAAAATCAGGATGCGTATCAAATTGTTGAATAATATGGTTCGATGTAATTATCTTGCCATACACAGTTTTGCAACTGCTCTGAATACATAATAAATTTTTAATAGAGATTTGTTATTTTGTGCGCTATTTTTTTCCCTGTGCATACAATTTTATATGGCACTATTGCGCACACAGTCACCAATGACTCTTCTAAATTCGGATTTATTATCAAGAATAGAATTTAGCCTTGACAATATGTTTTTCTTTGTGCCGTAATCAATTAATCATATTTCGATCCAACGGATTAAATAAGCATTTGTCCATGCGATCCAAATTGAAGCAAATTTTTTGTTGGGAGGATTTGCGTTGTCGAGACATACTCGAATCACGTTATGATATCAGTTCCAAACAAAATCGTCGCTTATATATTGATTTTTCATGTAATTGCACATGGAAAATCAAAATATTTTGCCATAAAATCGTAAATAGAAAAGAGAAAAAATAACGCTCTTGTTTGCCAAGCACTAAAATGCAATCAAAGTGAGTTTTGTGTATTTTGCGATTATGATAATTTCAACTGTCTGTATTGTTAATAATCGGTGAACCTGGAATTACTATCGGCTTTCCGTGGTCATAAAATCGCTTCAAAATATCACTAAATATGTGTATTTTTCTGTATAACACGGACCACAAATACATGCAGTTCTTCTCTGTCTCCTTTACCTGGTTGTGATTTGATGTCTGTCGATTTTACAGTGACGTTTTTTATTGGACTTTATCGCATAAATCAACTTCTAGTTTATAGTTAATGACACAGATCGCTTAAACAAAGAAACGACTAAAATAGATGTGCAAACAAAGGTGAACATGCAAAACGAACGCCATTTTGGCCACATGCCACCATGTAAATCGACTAGCACACAAAACCCTTCACCGTAATGGTTTTTTTTCCTCTTTCTCTCGCCGCTGTGTCTTGTTTGTACACACTAAAAAGCCTGTTTAAATATTTGCCCATATCTGCTTTATTACACAGAAACGATACGACCGATTTACGTTCGTGTAAAAGAAACGGCTTTGTGTGTTTCGAAAAAAAGTATTTTTTCATGTAAAAAATGTCATGTTCAGTATTCAGTTTTGCAAACAAATTTCTGTTAAAAAATGCAAAAAAAAATCCGATAGTCTGGTATCAAACATGTAAACTGTGATTAAAAATTATATATTGCATTGGCTCAAAAACGAAGAGTGAAAAAAGAAAGCGAAGTGAAATTGTAAAAATGAAATTGTCAATGTGTAAATTCTTTGGTGAACCTGCGACTGAAATATATTCAAACAGCGTAAATAATCAAAACAAACATCCCTAAGGATTATAATAATAATCATGATTGTAACTGCTGCTGATGTTGCTCTCATTTTGGGTTCGATTGTGTCGTTATTATTATTGCCGTGTTTCATCGATGTGAGTGCCGACCCCTTGAATACTAATAATAATAACAACAATCCAAACGGAATGAATATTCCATTCACCGAAATCACTCAATAGAAAACCAACATCATCCGAACCACAGCCAGTTTGCAATATGTACACAATGCATGCAAGAGGGGTTCCGATATACAGCTATTCACACTATCAACAATCACCGTTGAAAATTGAAGAATGTTTGAAAAACATATCCGAGCATCATTTTGAATGGGCGCGCTAAATGTTTTCCGCATTTACGATCTAAATGTATAGTATCACATACACACAGACTGTATCATCGGTATATTCGAACGGGTCTCTATGTTTGTTTCCTGGATGAAACGGCAAATCGGCGCTGCTTCACACACAGACACACACACACATCAAATATCATGGTGGGTAAGTTTCAATTGTACAGCAGATTTATAACATATTGGTTGCCTTTTTGTTGAACAAAACGCTCTCAATTACCGCCGATTTCCATGCGCTCAAAAACGAAGGGAAAAAATCTTTGTGACATACAATTGAATTGAATTGCAAGCATCCGAGTTCAGTGTTAATGTACTATACTTTTTCCGGCAATGAAATTTATTTGCCCAGTATTTGAAATGGGGTTGATGACGCTGAGAGAGAAAAAAAAATGATTGCTCTCTTTTTCAATTTTCATTTATTATTATTATTTTATGGGCAACTTGTTTTTCTACTGCACCTGTTTTGCGCTTGGTGATTGTTGTTCTTTGTTATGGATTCACCATTTGTCATTTTGAATGCGACAGATGAAGAAGATTAATCGCAATGTACGTAAAAAAACACAACAATATCGAACCAGATTTTGCAAATGGTCGAATGTGTTGAAAGCAAAAGTGCTCGTATCGTAGCCAGTGTCGTCACCATCGACGAGACGATCACGAAGAAAATGTATGTCTTGCCCGACCACGAACAATCTGTTGACGTTGAATCGCATTAAAACCTCACAAGATGTATACATCTTAACGACAAGCCGATTAAATGATTTTCTGTCTCCGAAATGATTGGCCAGAAGAGCGAATTACTTGCGAATTGCACATCAATTGCCATAAGCGACAAATCGATTTGTATTTTGATTGATAAGTTTCATTGCTGTGCTTGTGGTTCAATGTGCGTATGTGGTTTGCTTGCAAAAAAAAAAAATATTTATTTCCTCTGCGATTTTGCCACACAAGACGCGCACTCCAAACCGGATGATTCCAATCAAAAATTGATCTGATTACATTCGATTCCGATCAACGAAACGGACGAAGAGTTCAATTCCACGTTTCCGTTCGGTGCCATTGAATCATCGTTCCCGGTATTTATTGAGCGCGATATGGCTAACATTGTACAATCGGTTTTTATTGGTCATGTAATAAAAGCGGCATTTTCAATAAAGACCCATAAAATATTTATGGAAAGTCAATTTATAGATTGAAACTTTGTGAATGTCACAAATTCTTCACTTGTATCACTCTAGTGTTTTCGCAAATAAAGTATAATTTCGATTGAATCAATTTCAAGATATGAACTTGTTTGAATGGTTGTTTGTGCCATATTTTCTGCATTGTGTACCGTTACAAGTGAATGGAAATGACGATTTCATAAAAATCACATTCCATTTTCAAAGAATTGCTTGATTCTCGGTCGCAAATTGTGATGAAATTCCTCTCATTAATCAATGTGCATGTGTAATTGGTTTGATTGGTCATTTGCTTTTTGATTACAAATTATGATGAACATTTTTTTTTTCATTGAGATTAATTATTATTTTTAACTTCAATCATCAATAAAACTGATGAAACCAAGATAATTTTATCAAATTATTATGAAATTTGATAAAAACATAACGCTTTTTATTCGTTGCCGAAATAAACCAAATAAAAAAACTTTAAATCGCGGTAATATCGATTAATCAATAAGAAATGTGTTAAAAGTTGCCGGTTTATGTGTGAAATGCGTTTGATCTGCAGCAATAAAAATTCATTCTTATCGAGCATTTATTTTCGATGAAGACAAAAATCAAATAAAACGACTGAATGTTGTGCAAAGGACAAAAATGTTGAGCAGAAAGAAAACAAACGCGATTCGGCATTATATACATGGAATCAGAATCTTATCATAGACGCAAAACAGCGTTTAAGCTAACACACACACAGTTCTATTGGATGATTTATGACCATGTTGGTGGTGTGCGCACCGCAAAGAATGATCGGCGAACGCAGGCGCGTTCAAATATCATATTTTCGAAATGTGTTAGATTTTTATGATCGATACCATATTGTTTGCATAAGGTTCACAACATAGGATATAATATTTCGTCAATTTGTATTAATTTTTTGGGAAATTCTGTGGGCACATATTGCGTGTGAAAAAAACCGTTTTATATATTGCCGACCAGAAATCGACCATGTCAAGAGCGAAACGGGATCTAAACAATCGATCGCACGTCATGCATATAATTGGTTGTGATCACCTTTGATTGTGCGGGTTCATAGATTCAATCAAAATTATACATATGTTTTTTCGTTATCGATTACGCAATGAGCAGCGATCGCGCAAATTGATTTAAACAAAAAAATAATAAACACTTGAATCTTTTTGTCGAGCAGAGCAAGAGAGACAATCTCAAAGAGCATAACGGGAAACACAAACAAATCAGTTGAGTTACAAAACGATTTTGTCTATTGGTATTGACTATGATTTACACTAAATGAAACGATATCGTAAGAGATTTATTGCGTTTTGAGTACTTTAGATACGGTCAACCGGCACCGATTAAATTGAATGAATGAAATGCTTATTATTAGATGAACAATCGATAGTGTGTACATGTGAACACAAAAGTCAAAGATTAAATCACGAAATTTCTATGAAATATGTCATTTGGCTGAACATGAAGTGTTTTAATATGAATTACTTTTCTGTGTTGTTTAGAATAGACAATTCAATGGTTTTAATCACAATTTCATGTTTGTTTGAATTTTAATCAGCGTGCGTTATCACAAATTCAATCCGATTTGATTTCAATAAAATCGTGCGTTTCTTTTCAAGAGTTTCCATTACTCTCCTACTGTCTGTCGATCGCACGCGCAGATTTATAATAATATATTGTTGTTGATATGCTTTTTTTTTTCTTCCATCTATCAAATTAATAGTATTAATGCATACCATAAAATAAACCATATCTGAATCGTAAATTACGTGATAATAGGTAAAATGCTTATCATTGTCAATTGTTGTGGCGAAGAAGAAAAAAACGATGATGATATAAGTGTTTGATATAGTAACATTGAAAATAGTTGTTTTGATTTACCTTTAAGTCGTTTCGAGTCGACTGGTGATCGTCGATTTGGCGATTTCGACAAATCGTTGCCATTCATGATTGATGTTAACTGAACTGGTCCGGCATACAATCGACGATAGTTATTTATAAATTCACTGTTTAACGGGAATGGAAAAAGACCGTTGCGTGCTCCTATAATGAAATGAACAGAAATATCATTAAAATCAAATTGCAAGATTAAAATAAAAAATCTGTGAGAAATCATTGTGTGCCTTCAATTGATTTGAACGGATATACGCTTTTCAAGCGAATGTTACAATTTAAGATTGCGTGTTTCGTTGCCAATTCACTTTAAATTATGTTATTTCTTATTTCGCTCGATTTTAATTTGTTTTAATTAAAAAAACAACGACCGTTAATGTATGTATCTGAATCATCTTATTAAAATAATGCGCATAGCCATTCAGCCGCTGACTACAATAATGGAATTAATGTAAAAGACACTGGAAATAAAAAAAGAAGAAAAAATCCATTTGTGTTGACCCATGTCGAACGGGCCCGATAAAAGGGAACTCAGATCCTTCAAATCGAAATTTATAACAATGAAACAGCGCGCAACGACAATGACAGCAATCATAGAAAGCAACAAAAAAAATTGTATACAAATCAACAATGGTGCTCTGCTGCATACAAACTGCGCAACCACCAAAGTCAACACCAATAATTCTAATTACAAAACATTCTTGATTTAATTGCTTTAAATGAAGCGAAACGAGTGATTTCGAAAATGAAAACTGTAAAATCATCTTTCATATATATATATAACCATTGGAATTAAAACTCTATGAAACAATAGGGAGGTAGAGCGAGAAGGAAAACGATAATTATACAAACGTGAATGTGAAAGCGAATGTAGTATGTTTGTGTGGAAAAAAGAAGCAATTTTTCCGTTTTGTCTCTTTTGTTTCTTCTGGTTCTTAATTCGTCAGTAGAATTGCCGAGGCCGCGAGAGTTTATAGAAAAAAATTATGTTCCGAGTGTGAAGAGTGGAAAAAAGGCGACCATACGTTAAAATGCTGGCATCATTATTATCTCTTGCCATTAATTTTCATTTCATTGGCCATACAAAAGTAATAAAATCTTTGGAAAAAAAGGAGCTCCATTCCTTGGCTTGTGGCTATGTTATTCACAAGTATATGTGTGTGCGCCATTCTCGGACAATTTTAATTTATTGTAATTTATTTATCTGATTGTGAGCGCTACAATCATTTCGAGTTGAAATCAACGCGAGGGTAATAATACCCATTGTTTTTTCTTTTTTTTTATATCTCGGTCCATGAAGTGGCCGAATATAAAATAAAAATACAATGAATGCGTAACGATTCTAACCCTTAAGTGTTTATTACTACCAAATGAGCAACTTATTCTGTCATACATATTTAGCGATGCGTCAATTAAAACCAATAGTGTTCTCTTTAGTTTTGCTGATAAGGTCATTACTGCGTAACAAATATACGATTCTTTCTGTTTGCCAACTAAGCGGCAGGAGCGGTAATTTCCAAAAGATTTGCTCATTCAATTTTTGTTTTTTTTTTCGCTATTCACTGGTTTCGGTAACTTGGTACTGATTTAACTAGCCACTGTAAATGATTTCAATTGAAACAATAATAAAATGATTAAATTTTTCGTTGTTATTGCCGAGAGAACATTAACAAATTATTATATATGCGACGAGTCAGATTTCTGTTGACTGGACAACATTTTTAATTCAACTGCTGCGGTTGTTAGTCATGCTGTCTGCAGTGTTCGATACAATTGTTTGCGTAGGTGAATCACAATTGCGTAGGCATAACTGAATAGAAGAGTTTTTATTTCACTTTTGGCCGGATAAAATTCAACTTGAATTGAATAATAAAAACACTTTCAATTCCAAGCAAAATAGACATTTTTCAATATGTTCAAATGGTTCCCCCTTTTCTTTACAGCCAAACAAACGTCGCTGGTTGCGTCTTCATTAATCGACGACAGTAAAACAAAAAACAAAAAAGAGAAACAATTATTGGGATTATTACCATGTGGTCAAATGTTATTCTAATTGAAATCATAAATCCATCACTGTTGAGGACAAACATATGTAAAAAATAACCAACTAAACAGCGATTATGAAAGAAACTGTCAATTTTTTTTCGTTAGTGTAGTTCGCTTAGTTCGGTCTAGTTTGTATCTAGTGTCATCGCATCGAATTGATACATGAAGCGTCAAATGAACGTTACTTGATATGCTCGACGGAACTGCTGTGGCTTGAATCATTAAATGCATACCATATGGCACGCAGCGGATGGATTACTCGATTCGAGGCACTTTTTTTCCTCGGTTTGTCTCCATCACACACAAATATAGGACAAATTATTATTTGTAAAAATTGTGTATATTGCAAGCCTTTTCATGGTAATGATTTTTACAATAAAACTGGAGCACGTTTTTTTTTGGTCCGTCGATGTTGCAGTATGTGCGCGTTTTTAGTTGAAAGTTATTAAAATGAAATGAATCTGATGATGCGAACAAACGAATGTGTTGAAATATTGCAGTCATTACTGCCAAACAGGCGCTTTGCATGTTATTTTTTTCGCTATTTAATGGCTCTTGAATGCGTTTTTTTCACTATTCATTTTTTTTCGAGCGATTTAAACATGTAAATACCATCGGTTTTATCGCATAAAATGACAAAATTGGCGAATAAAAAACAACCAACGTTGAACAAATGGCGACGTTGTCTAATTCCTTTGAAATGTTATAAACAAAATTGAATGCGACGCATTAGATATAATTATTCAGCGCGTTTAATTGCTTTTGGATTTGCTACATTTTCTCAGCCGATGACGATAACATCCATTCCAGCACAATCCTGATGACGAATCAAGGCAATCGCCACTGGGCATTTATCATTAATACTATGACGCAAATCTATAGCACAAATAAGCAAATTATACTTCTTTTTTCTATGTTTTTCATCTCCTTGAAACTTTTCAAGTTGCCCCAATGAAATCTTGAAATGTTTGATCAAAATTAGATACTCAAATGAATAAAAATGAAATAAATTGTGTATTAGATGGTCTCGAGTGGCTGTTGAAAAGTAGAAATCGCATGAAGAATTTTTGTTGCAACTAATTTGATGTATTCGCATTATCCTTTTTATATATTTAGATATCCTTGACTTCTGCTTTGTTGAGTCAGCAGGCAAACGTGAGAAGCCCAAGTGTGGAGCACAATCAAATATTCATCACTTGTATGGAATGCAAGAGAATTGAGTTAAAACCAAATCACTCATAAATCGTGCAGAAAACGACGCATAACCATAAAATGCAGCATCAAAAATCATAAATCTCGTCCACAAATGCCATTTCTCTTTCACTCACTCTTTCTCTTCAAGTTATCATTTCACAACAAGCAGAGACATGATTTTTAAAAATGATTAACATTAATTGTATGCTAAAGGGCGAACATATTCGAAAAAAAAGAACGAGAGAAACGACAATCCAAATCACGTGCAAAAAAAGTGGCTCTAATGAATCTGTTTGTCGCGCATTTGCATTTAAGATTTGTAGAGAGACAAATAACAAAAAAACAACCGGCCACATTCCATAATTCCATGTGAAAAACATTTCAGCAGCTTTTGAATAAGGAAAAAAATGTAACTTCAATAAATGTGACATGTGTTCACCAGAACAGTTGCGGCGCACTATATGCTTTAAATGTCATTGGGAAAAACCATGTGATGACGACAACAAACGACAACAAAAACGGGAGAAAAAAAATTGCTTTACTCACAAAATGATGACTTTGTTTATTTCAGTCGATTCACATAAATATTTTCATGCGATTCAACCGATTAATCACATCATTTTCTACGATTCGTACAACTGAGTTTAATGCATGTGTCTGTGAACTGGCATAAAACATGGGAAAACTTAAACTAAAATCAGGAAAATTGATGACCGTCGTTTTGAGTCAAGCCTTTTATTTATTACGGAATTGAATGAAAGCACGTGTTTCTGTTTAACTGATCAATAGTGTCTTCATAATGCGATATTGTTGTTATTGATAAAACGAAATCTATTTCTTGAAAACTGTTATAAGATAATTTCTAATCAGATCTTGACTTACCGTCGGCATGTTTTGGTGTTACAACTTTGAATGCTGACTGTGAACTTTTATCGGGTGATATTAACATACTTGCACCGTGCTCGGCTGTCTTCACTTGAATATTGAGATTTGTTAAACCATCAGCTTTTACATTCAATGAAAAATCCAATGGTAATTGTGATGTTTTCATAGTCGATACATCCATTTTCTTTGATTTTATTGTACAATTCGAGTAATTTTTTAAATAATGTTTTTTTTAAGTTTTTTTTTTATTTTTTTTCAAAATCACCGTGTTTTGCAAAAAAAGAATATTTTTCGTGCTTTTTTTAGAAATATTTTCCAATTTTTAAATGCACTTAATCAATTGTCAATATTATTGTTTCAAAAAAAAAATGTTCACAAAAATGCTCTCACAAATTTCGTAAAGTTCATTTTTCAAAGCACATTCGACAAAAAAATCTTAAACAAAAATTAAATTTCGAAAATTCCCTCGCGATCAAATGATGATTAAAACACTGTCGCTTTTCATAAAGTGTTATTTTATTTTATGAAATCGCGACTATCACTACACAAATTCCGATAACAACTGATTACTGAGAGCGGTCGACGAACACTTTTTGATCAACAAAAAGAGTTAAAATGTCAGTTTAAGAATCGTTTAGCTTAGCGTGCGAAGCAAGCAGAAGAGAGAGAGCGAGATGGAAAAAAGGAATAACAATAAATCATGGTCAGAGCGAAAAAATGGTTGTGCATTGGCAATATCAGCGTCAAACCACTTTTAACTACCGATTCAAACACTCTCTCACAGACACTGAAATTGCTTTACAACTACACACAGCTGAATAATATACACTCAAAAGCAAAGGTGGCTTCAAACGAAACGGCTCTATGTATATGATGGTTAAGAAGATGGTCCGCTTGAGTTAAAAAAAAAACAGCGTTCGCCTTGTTGATTCCGTGTGTTCGGCGGCAACCAAAAGAAGGAATCGTCGTCCGTTTTGTATGACAGTAAAAAGCCGTAGCCGAATGAGTTGTATAATGAAACTTCCGTTTCGACGATCGAATGCCACAATAAACAAAAACACAACCGAATCGAGCCGGGCTTCAATCGAAAATGATTGCTAGAGAATGAGTGCGAGTGTGAGTCGGTGTGTCGTTTATGCGGCGAATAGATCATACACAACAATCGTGTGACGTCTCATATAAATACATACAATAGAGGAGTTCGTGCACATACATATGCTTTTTTAGCTTATCGCGTTTTCAGTTATCAAAACATACGAAGAGATTTCTGATTTAGCCTGTACCCATACAAGCACCAACATATATACGTACACACAACGCATACATGCATAAACATGCTATGCCCGGCCCCGGTATTGTTGTGCTGTCGTTTGAATCGCGTATACGGAGAACAGTGATTCCCACTCTCGTCCACATTGAAGCCATTTTGTAGGCGGTCCGTTGTGCATTGTTTGTGCGCGCTATGTTAGATTGCTGAATTCTCTCCTCTCTATTCACCACTCGTTCAAAACGGAATACAGCACACCAGGATCAACGAGCGAAAAATCAGGTTGTTTGTAAAGAGAGCGAGAGTGGAATAATCTGTTGTATATGCTTCTGTTTTTTTTTTCTTTTCGCTCTCACTCTGGTTTTCGCATTTGCGCGCGGCAAGTTATAAAAATCCGAAAAGCAGATCCGAATACGCCACCGTCGTCAGTCGCATGGATTGGCATATTTTGCTTGTTACTATTTGGATTCGCATTTCAAGTGTGCTCATGTACAAACCTTTGAGAAACGAGATACGACGTCTCATATAATATATCCCGAATCACGCTGCACGACCGGATGGATGTGGTGCTCTTTCGGTCACATACGAAAAACATATCACGATAGACTCGCAACGAGATTAAACGCTTTTTTTCCACGCTGATATTTTGTGTCGTCTTTTTTCTTCGGCTCTCTTTCTCTCCATGCGCGCGCGCTCACAATCACAACAAGAATCTGGTGAAGTCGAAGCAATATGTTCGCCACACATATGCTCCTATCTTTCTCTATATATGCGTACATATGGATGCCACCAACATGCCAGAGATGAAAAAAGAGGAGAGGTGTTTTGGTTTTGTTTACTTGACGACGTTCGTTTTTTTGTGCTCCTTTTTCGTGTTTTTTTTTTTGAGAAAGTTTTTGTCAGCTAAATCAACGAGATCAGGAGATTTTCGTAACTATATGAGCTGGAATGGTAGCGATGGTAACGCACGTTTTTTTCTTCATTCAATTGAAGGAGAAAGAAAAACAACATCGTTTGGCAAAAAGGCAACATTTTAGCAGCATTACACTTTGTCCTTTTTTGGTTTTTTTTTTTGCACACATACACACACTGTTAACATTGACAACAGAAATCAATGGATTATAGTGGAATCAGATTTCAATTTCACTTCAGCGATAAACACTCCTCGGGTATCGGAATGATAACATGATTAATCATGGCGAATGAGTTTCGTATAATGATAATAATTGATTTTTGACGCGATCAAAGAAATCGAGACACATTTCAGTTCATATGCATTTCAACACAAATACACACAAACAAAAAAAAAGACCCAATAAAATCACACGATAATAATTTTATGATTTTGAACTGTGAGCTGATTGATAGCAGAAACAGTTTTATACTGTGCAAATACAACAAATTCGAACTTATATTTCGATCATAAAATACCATACGGCATATGATAAGTTAAAACACAAATGCCGAAAAGTGAGAGCATTCGCTTGTTGGTATATATGTATCCACGTCATTGATTAAACCATACAATAAAATCACTTACCCAAGGCTATCGTACAAATTACATTGTTATCGTTTCCAATTTTATTTATGATCATTTGATTTCTCAGATTAATTTAAAACACAAAATCACAAAAACACTTTAGCAATATCTGAAAAAAAAAAATTGATACCAACAAAAACCATCTATTTTGTCATCAACTATACATGCAACTATTTATAAAAAATAACAAACATAAAATAGTCGCGTGAATGAATAAACTTGGAAATAAACGAAAGAAACAAGAAAAGTGAAAGTTCTAACAAGAATGGTAGTGTCACCATTTGCCGATGTTTAGACTGACTTGAATTTAAAATCTATAAAAATTTCGAATTATGGCATTGACATGAAAAAAATACCAGAAAGGATTACAAAATCCGACAGCCCTAGTACTATTTCTTGTATTGTTTTTAAAGCAAGATCTTAGAAATCAACAAAATATTGCAATTTCTCACACTTACCTAGTAAAAATTATGGTCTCAATATTGAATTCATGAAAAGACGAAAAAATGACGTTTCTGCAAATATTTCAGCTGCCTGTTTTTCAGTACAAAGTTTGCTAAATAATATTTCCCACATAAAAAAAAGATACTTCCAATTTAATTTTTTTAAACATTTTCAATTTCGATGCAGTTGAAAAATATTGTCACAGGCAAAATGTTTAACTTAACATAAAAATCGCCAATCAAAAATAGATAAGGGTAATAAATTAAATCCTTTTCCATTGAATTCCGTCTAAATCCAATCTCTTAATATGTTTTTTCGTTGAATTTCTTTATTTTTGTTGATTTCTAATCTAAAAAAAAATGATATCAATATTTGTGTTCTCATTGATCTCTAGAGACAATGAAGTACCCGTATGCACACAGAAGCCTTACAATGCGAGTGAATGTATTTATGTGGTGTACATACCACATCGGTTACCGTATGCCGTAAACGGTGTAAATTGACGGAATGAGCGACCCTCATTATTGAATAAATAACGAAAAAAAAACCTGCAATTGTATTTTTTCATTCTGTTGTTTTATATATTCTATTTTTGATGAGAAAAAGTGAGACTTGATCGATACTTCAGTTAATTTGTCCCCTTTATTGTATCATGGTTGCGTTTACTCGTGTTTTGACCTATTAACTATCTGTGCAATTGCTGAGAAGATAACCAATTATCCAATTCGATATGTTTAAGTCGCACGACATTTGAACTCTTTTCTTAATTCAATCGAATCGAGGTGAATATTTTGGTTTATTATTTATTATTGCTCGTTATTTAGATAAGATAAAAGTGAGAGACTAATGAGGGTAACATCAGACAAAGTCGTAAATCTACAAATTTAACACCAATATTCTTTCTTTTCTAATCAAGCGACGAATTCGTAAGCGATTAAATTGATTTTTTATAAAGACCAAACCCATCTTCATCGATTAAATTTTAAATGTAAATGAATCATTCAAAATGGAATGGTATTTAATTGCGAAAAAATTGCATGCATCACCTTAAAAAAAAAGTGCATCAAAACATATGACACACGGATCGTATCACGCAACGAACTTTTCAATTAAATTGTATTGCACAAATTGGTAACTGATAAAAAGTCAAGCTAAACGCGCATTTTTACTCTGGAAAGTGGTACCACCTTGATTTTATCGCATTTCATACACGAGAACCAATTAAATGGGGTTTGTCTGATGTCTTTTGTAACAGATTAACAAGGGATAAATAACAACGACATGGACTGCATTTGAAATTAAATATCGAAAAAAATACCTGCACTTTTATCTTGAATATTTGATTTAGGCCGCATTGACCCCTTAAGCACGGTGTATATTCGTTTAACACGTTACCACTTCATTTGGCATAGTAGAGAGCGCCATATGTTAATTGAGGTGCAGTCAACTGCTGAATATGTTTTGTGTATGTGTATGTCATATGAAATGGAAAATTACGCCTTTTGGGCCATGTAATTATTGCTCATTTACATGTTTGTCGACACAATGATATACACAAGACACAGGTATGTCAATTTAGAGATAAAAAAATGTTCCTTATGCGCTCTTGCTGTGTTTAGATTTTAATCTGCAAGATTACAATATTCAGTTGGAAAATAACCACGAGTATCCTTATGGGTCGTAGAATTCGATTTTTTTTGTGGTAATTGTGATGAAAATATTGCACTATGATGAATGAGCCTTGTGCAAAAATTTGGTCGTCACATCCATCATTCAAAGCGTTGACATTTTTTTCCATTTGCAAAAAACATTGAGTGAAAATTTTTAAATTGCCAAAATGGGAACAACAGATGCGTTCGAAAAAAAAGAGTGCAAATTTTTCTCCTTTTACAATCCAATGACTTAATCGATTTTTTGACACAAAATCAAGCATGTGATAATCATATAAAAGCAACGAGATTGTGTATTATTATCTATCGCACAAATGTCACACGTACGAGAGAAAATAAGTCATTTCACAGCAGATTAGTGTGTGACGCGCCAATTAAATTCAAGTTTTTTTTTTATTCAAGCTGTTGGAATAGAAAAATTGAGAGCCGTGCATTTGGTCACCTATTAATTATTCAATGAACTCAATATTTATGTAAGTCCTTTGCTGTACTGTGTGTATTTGTGCGACGTATGTCTTTATTCGGATCAAAGCCAAACAAACAAGGGGTTAAAAACGAAAGTTCAGGCTTGCTAACGAACAGTGAAACAATGACAGAAATCATATAATTTTTATTAGAGAACATATGTCAACCTTGCTTGCTAACCAGAGCCACTGTGTAAACATTCATTTTTAGATAGTGAATATATGTGTATACCAATGAATATTCTAACACGTTTGAACCAAATGCAATAAGCATTCTGAGCTCAGTACGGCTATTTTTTTGTGCCTTTTTTCAAGTAATTTCAGTTTATATTTACACAAAGGGCGTAAATTACTCTGTAATCAATGATTGAAATATATACAACAAACATATACGACCAATGCACACAGCTTAGTAACCAAGTTAAATAATAGTATTGCCCACAATCGGATGAAATGCGACATAAAAGAACACTAATAATACGGTAAATTGAATCACAATTACCGAATACAGTGGATCCAATTTGAAAGGCTAAATCAATATTTACATTTGCGCAAAACGCACATGCAAAAATACAGTAATTTAAGAAGCATTTGATTGTAGTTTTCAATTTTGGAAAGGGGTGCATTTTGAACTCGGATTGAAATTATAATTTTTAAATAGAAAATATTTATCAAGTTTGAAAAGGATATCTATTCATTTCATGAAAAGAAAAAATATTCCTATTTTAATACCTACTCTAGAAGATGTCACAACTATGTCGCAAAAAAGAGTAAATATTTTTCACGACTATTTCCTCTTTGTTTGTATCGCTCAAATCTCAAGTACAAACCTTTGTTCATGCCAAGTCATGACCAGTAGAACGATGTCAGCAATATCCATCTTTGTCCGCATGCGGTTGAGTTTGTTGAATTAGATTGCGTGCGTGTGGTAATCAATAATTTACCCAATTGATCAGTTCATTGTTTATGTGGGTGCAATTTACTTTACATAAAACCATTTGTTTTAAACTTGTAGTTTTGTTATTTTGTTTCCCATTTCGAAACAGACAGACGACCATAAAATCGATCAAAAACTAATAGATTTAAATGATTTTTTTTTTGAGCATTTTTTATTTCTCTCGTTAATTTTATTACAAAATTATGTATATGAATTTGTTCACAGAGTGATAATCAAAGAAGCCGACCGAATTTGTTTTAATTTCATTGACAGAATTGGTTTGTCAATAAATCCAAATTGATGGCGGTGAATGTGTGTCCACTGTCGTCATTTGTAACATTTAATTTGATTTGCGGTTTCGAATGTTTTAATTGGATTTATTGGTATTCGGTTGAAATTCGAATTTAATTGTTTAAAACATTGCACGATGATGCGCCGCATCGAATATTCACTACATTCAACTTAAAAGTGATGCAAATGTTCAAGCAATAAAAAAAAAGTTTTAAACTGCCGCCAGCCAAATCGATAGAAAATAGAAAAGCACAGATGATCAACCTGTAATTTGTCGAACGTAATTTGTATGCAAGCCATTCGAACGAATAATAATCCTTTTGAAACAAATCGAAAGTTTCGTTCGTTCTTTGGTTTTTTGCATTCCATGAAAAATTCCATTTCAAAACCATTATCATTTACCATTGAAAATAATAAAACGATTATCATTCATGAATCTTGAATTTTATAGCCATTGATTATGTTTAAATAAGCAGACAAATGTTACGAAATCCTTTGAAGTTGCCATTTCCTATCTTTTCTCTCTCTTTCTCCCTCGCTCATTTCAAAATACACTCTATTTTGAAAATTCGTTCGGATCTTCTGCCAACATTCAGAGTCACATATTCTCTCTTGAAAAACTTTACGTTCATTTCTATGAAGAGACGGAGAAAAGAGATTGTGAATAAATGGAGTTCTTTTATGAAGCAAAATCGACACAAAAATTGAAGTCTGTAATTTTCTCCGTCTCTAGTGATTACAATCTTGTGCCGTGAAATCGTTTTCGATTCATACCCATAATACGGGTGTATAAACACTTTTTGGCACCGACTCTTTTCAATTGTTCATTGCAAATGTGGTGAAATCAATGAAAACTATGCGCGTCTACATGGTAACATACGAAAAAAAGTGACATCAAGTAGCATTTTGTACCGAAATTTTCTCAATGTAATCCTTTAATGTGCGCTCATGACTTGTGCCATTTGTTGATTGTTGCAAGGGGTTGCCACTGTTCATACTGGTAATATTCAGATTTATCATCAAATTCGTAATTTTGAACAATGTGCAAACGGGTTGCGTCTAATCCTTTAATTAGAAAGTGGTCGATGTAATTGTCGAACGAAATCCCAGTCTTGTTGCCGCCTCCTGCCCACAAAAAAAAAACGGTTACCATTCGCCACAACTGGTGGAGTGAAAATGATTTTGATTACTTTTCCTTTTGCTATCGCATTTGAATCACAATGTGGATTCAACGAAAAATACATTACATTTACGAAAATTTGTTCCACACAAAAATCATTCCGTTTTCATATGGAGCACATTTTGTGTGCGTTGCCATGAATCGAAAATATGTAAATTTAGTGGCTTTATTATCATTTCATTTTAAACGTTTGCCGGATAATGATCGTTTCATTTTTGAAATTGTTAATGTTTACCTCGTGACATAATAACAATAAAATAAAATAAATATAGTCGAAACAGACTATAATCCTTGCAAAAATTGTGCACTTGTGTTCTGCCTTGTGTGATTTTTTCTCTTCTCGTCTTTGAATTTCGCATTTTTATTGAGAGCTGGGGTTTTTGGTAAATTGTTTTTCTTTTTCAGGCACCTTTTTATTCAATTGCTTTGTTTATAATGATTCCCACAAGGATTGACATGGTTTTTAATCTTTTTTCTCTATTTTCAATGTGTATTTAAATGCTAGTGCATGGTTTTGAATATCAAAATGTTTGAAAATGATCACATTTCCAAACCAAAATGATTTTTTTTTTCATATCCGTAACATTTTCGGTTCTCAAGAAATTGATTTTTTTCGACGAAGCGATTTTTACTTACCTTTATTTGCTGAATATTACCCTTAAACTATGTCCAAATGATATGATGGTTACGATTTGAATGACTAAATTCACAGTTTCAATAGGGTAGAAAATGAATGTGTCAATATTGACAATGGAATTTAAGATTTATATTCCTCTTGAATGAAAGAAGCATTTCAATCGTTTTGAATGGGGTATGGAAAAAAGTAAATTAAGACGTGTGACCGAGCACGCGGCAAAACCGCTTTAAAAACAAACTCTGCAATGATTAACCGCTTCCGGTGGCTGATTCACAATTTCAAAATGATACACATTGAACCAAATGACACGTTCCATGGAGACGCGATTCATTACTTCTTATTTAACTTATGATCCGATTGAAACGGCTTAAATCAATGTAAATATTTCGAAAAATGTTTGCTTAAATGACGAATCGTGTTGGCGCCAAGGTTATTTGTCTTTTAAATTTAAATCAATGACCATCTTCCTCTTTTTTAATAAATCGTCAATTTATTTGGCTTTAAAATGATCAACAAATCTAAAACCAAACATTTTATAGCGTTGGCATGGTTTTGAATTGAATCAGTCAACGGTATTACCAATACAACGCACGACAATGAGTGAAATAGAAGTTGATTGAAATATGATTGATACATCGATGTTTTTCAACACCCACAGTTAATAAATAGATTTTATTCCGACGCATTCACAGTTTTCGTTTAAATTGTGCGTAATTACAATTAGTGGTCATCTTACAACACTTGAAATCAACTCAAACCAATGCGTATTACCCATATTTCGAGCATTTGTGAGTGTTTGCTATGAGTTAGGGCGAGACGTTGAGGTTTTATATGCAAAATACACAATATCACACTGAGTGTTTGGTGTAAACCTCGGCTCGGAGTAAACAAATGAATTAAATTCAATCAAATGAATTCCTTAGCTGGAAACTGTATTGAAATCATTTAAACGAATCTTCATCTTGAATTTAGATTAATTGCAGCTCACACATTATTTCAATTTGTAACTCATACAAGCAATGCATGACTCATAAAATGTCATCACACAATAGCTTTGCGCTTAATTGCTTCAAATGAACTTTTTATTTTCATTTAATTAAAAGAAATGACAAATTACAGCGCCAACAAACTACAATGCACTTTTTAGAGAAAATGGAGGCTTTTTTTACGTCGCTATAAACTAAATGAGAGACGACTTATTTTAGAAGAAAATTAATTTAAAAATAACAAATCAAAATAAATTGAACAAATGGAATTTGTTTTTTTTTTTATTGGAAAACACCAGTTTTCTAAAATATAGCTGAACAAACGTAGTGTACACTTTGAATTCTTGTGAACAACAAAATGGTCAATATTCAAAGTCATCGATTGGTTTGCTAAAAACCGCACTAATTAATAATAAGACGTTGTTGTGACGACTTGAAGAAAAACTTGAGTAATATATACATTTTCTGTTTCTTCATGTGCATGCACTTTTGTGTTGTAATTCGTTTTTAGGTCTTCTACAAAACAGCTAACTGAATAATGGTTTCTAATCCAATTACCCGAATGCTTTGCAAGTCGACCGATATTTTTCGTTCTTATATTTTCATATTAATAATTATCGATTGTGGCATTAACTAAATTACAAGTATGCCACTTTGCAAGGTGGTTGTATATTCGAAGGTCGACGTTTTTAGCGTAAGTTGATGCACGTTTAGTGTCTGCAAAATAGTCTAAATTTAATAAAATCAATTGATTTTTCATTTTTGTGTCCAAATTAAATTATGTGGTGGTTAACTTGATGGAAAAAATGAGTATAAAAACGCTGCAAACATCGAGAAACAGCGAAGTTGTCCTTTGGTTGTCCTACGGAACAATTCAACTACCAAGCTGTTTTAATTCGGTGAAATTTTTATTTTTTTCTAAGACTGGAGTAGTTCGTTTTAGTGCGATTTTCTTCAGGCCTTCAATTGGTACATATTCAAATGTTTTTGCAAATTGTGTAAAATCTTTTAACCGTTTCTTTTTTCTTTTGATCCTATCATTTCAACGACAGTGAATATTATAAGTGACTAAAAAAGATCTATAATGGCTACCTTCTTGGAACCTCATTTTGAAGCATTGACCAAGTCGATGAGCGGAAACATCACCGTCGTCGACAAAGTCCCAGCTGAAATGCTTCACCTCGTCGATCCACATTGGTATCAATTTCCACCAATGAACCCATTGTGGCACTCGATCTTAGGTTTCGCCATGGTCATCCTCGGTCTCATCTCAGCTCTTGGAAACGGCTGTGTACTTCTAATTTTCACCACAACAAAGGCTCTTCGAACCCCATCCAACCTTTTTGTAGTCAATTTGGCTTTCTCTGATTTCTTAATGATGGCTTCTATGTCGCCACCAATGGTTGTCAACTGCTACTACGAGACCTGGCATTTCGGACGTAAGCTCATTTCATCATATCTTGTTTTGTTTTTTGTTGGGAATTCAATATATTTTTTTTTTATTCATCTCGGTCGATAGCACGCATGTGCGAAATCTACGCTATGTTGGGATCATTGTTTGGCTGTGCATCTATCTGGACTATGACTATGATTGCTTTCGACCGTTACAATGTTATCGTCAAGGGTTTATCGGCTAAACCACTTTCAAATGGAGGTGCTGTTTTACGTATTGCCGGAATTTGGGCATTCGCATTGATTTGGACCCTCGCTCCAATGTTTGGATGGAACAGATACGTTCCAGAAGGCAACATGACTGCCTGCGGTACTGACTACCTTTCCAAAGACTGGAAGAGCCGTTCATACATCTTGGTTTACAGTTTCTTCGTCTACACTTCACCATTGTTGTTGATCATCTACTCATACTTCTACATTGTTCAAGTGAGCATTTGTCGTCGAACGCATAAACAAACTCATTTTGTTAACTCAATGGTTTTTACCTTTATCTTGTCCACAAATTAGGCTGTCTCAGCTCACGAGAAGAACATGCGAGAACAAGCTAAAAAAATGAACGTCGCTTCATTGCGTTCAGCCGAAGCTCAAGCAACCTCAGCTGAATGCCGTTTGGCTAAAGTTGCTTTGATGACCATCTCATTGTGGTTCATGGCATGGACCCCATACTTGATCATCAATTTCACCGGAGTTTTCGAATGGGCACCAATCTCACCATTGGTAAAAATTGATTTCAACTGATTCTATTTATTTCTTTTCAATGACTTTAAACCATGTTTTATGCTGTTTATTTAGGCAACCATCTGGGGATCACTCTTCGCCAAGGCTAACGCTGTGTACAATCCAATCATCTATGGTATCAGCCATCCGAAATACAGACAAGCTTTGTTCAAACAATTCCCATGCCTTTCATGTTCAGATGGCAACAGCGTGGGTGCCGACAACCAATCGGCAGTCTCAGGAGCTACCGCCGTCTCAGACGAAAAAGCATAAATTCGCTGAACAATTTAGCAATTTTATGTATATAAAAAAATGTCTGTGTTTTATAATAGTAATACAATGATGAAGACTCTCTTTTGCTTTAGCTTAGGAATGATTAACAAATTTTTTTCATACTCTCTGTAATCAATGTAATAGTATTCGGAAACTGTTAAACCAAAGGCCCTTATTTTATTGTTGCAATTTGTAAAACAAAGCGAAAAAAAATTGATGTACAGCAATTTTATTTTTTGACAATTAGCCTTTCGAACAATTGGATAACATTGTAGATAAAATACTAAATTAATTGATAACAAAAACTTGAAATTTTTATTTTGCTATTGACATTTAATTTGAAATAAAAAAAATGCAAGTTCGAAATTTATATTTTTTGATTTTTAATTTTGAAACATTTTTATTTTGCCAGAATCACCTTAACTTTCTAATTTATAATTTTCTTACAAAAATGAAGTTTCAAGACTCAACTTATTGTTCAAATCCTTTGAAAACATGACCGATTTAAAATTCAACTCCATCTTAACAAATCATTTGTTAAATTTTTTTTATCTCCGAGTTGCTAATTTTTCTCGGCGACTTTAATTTGATATGACACAAAACAAATATATTTCATGTCACATTCGCATCTCTGTCGCTTGTTAATCACTTGACTTTTTTTTTTATTTGGTAAATTGTGCAATTTTTTGTTGTCTAATTTATATTTGTAAGTTATTCAGGAAGCGAAACTAATATTAAGTTTAAAAGGGTGAATCATTTTCCTGGACACAATTTCTCTTTGAGCGAGAGTTAAAAAAAGTGAAAAAAAATAAATAAATGGGGTTCATATATATCCCACGCAAATCGTTTGAAACGAGAAAAAAGTTGAGAGAAAAAATAATTAGAATCGCAACTTTGAGTCCCTTTTTTGCTCATTTAAAAAAAGTGATTATTAAGTGGTTCACGTTCGGTGTCATGAGACAAAACAATATGAAAAATATATCATGAACTGCAAGCCCGGGTCAGCTAGTATATTGCAGTAAAATGTGCTTTCTTATTCATCAAAGTGAAATGGCTCTTTTTTCTTCTCCTCATCACGTGGAAAAGAAATTAACTTTTTCGAATGAATTTTTTTCTGCAATTACTCGGTTCATTTAAAAAAAAAAAAAAAAAAAAAAAAAAAAAAAAAAAATATTCTCTCGTCACCATGAAAAGATCGGTTTCATTGAACGAAAAATGAAAAATTACAAAGTGATGTGAAAAATGTTAAGAAAAGAAGAAGGAAAATCCGGCAGGCATTTAAAATAATTGAAATCGACGGAATGGGAAACGAAAACAAAATTCCATTTGCCAAGAGTTGAATTTGATTAACTTACTTGCTTGTTGGTAACATTAATCCAGAGGACAAAATTGCCACACGACCTTAACTTATTTGGTTGATACACACCGAGAAAAAAAAAGCGAACCCGTTTTTCACATTTGAACCAATAATTGAAAACAGAAATGAAAAATTATGTGGTTATGGAGAAAAACGGAGCAATGCGGTGCGTAAGTAGCGGTGAGAGCACACAATTTTTTTCTGACTTGCATTTAAATCGAATTCGTTTGAAATGCAAATGAGTTGAGCATCGACAAAGATCTCTTTGGCATGAATCAAAATTGAAAATGAGATTGCTGTCTTCAGTCGCTTCGAAAAATGATTTATATCAGACACTTATACACATTGTGCACAAAATCGTTTCACATGTAATGCAAAACGATGGCCGAACATCTGTTCCATCAGAGTCCTTATTTTAAAGATAACAAGTGATTGCTTCGAGCGTTTGGGTTTATTTATGAAAATTCGCATCAAATTTATATACGAAATAGTTTTATTTTAAATCCACTTGCTGGGTTTCGATCGAACAAACCGAGTTGAACACACGAATTACACAAACAACTAAAATTCAGTCGGGGCTGCCGAATGAAAAAGATTAAAAACCACTTTCATGGAAAATGATTCGAGCCAAAATCAAAAGAGTATTTCGAATTGAATTTCGATTTTTGTTTTCTTTAGTTTTGCATACTAATTCAAAAAAGGACGATAGATAAAGCACAATCCTTTTATCAAAGAGATTTCCATTATACGATGGAGTACGATGAGTTCCACATTTCGAAGCATTTTCAAATTGAATGAAAATGTTCTTGTACGTGTATACAGATTTTATGTTTTTCATTCAATTGATTTCCGTTTCTGTATCATTTCCGCTAATGTGCGGTAAAATTTAGCGCGATAAATATGGATCCGGTTTGAGTCATGCAAAACCAGCGACCCATTTCAATTGTGTTTAATTAAAAACAATATCGTCATCGTTTTTACCAAAAAATCAGCTCATTTCCGGAGGATTTGCAAAATCACCAGTTTTTGTCTCGTACGGCAATTTGTTGACACTGTTTATTTTGAACATCGAGATCATAATATTCACAGTTCAAACCAGTGAAATGTTGAAATTTTTGGTGGCGAAAATGAATGGTTTTCACACTGCAATGAATAAACCAATGAATTAATTGCTGTGGATCAACAAAGCGGCAAACTAATTCTCTCACACAAATTTATATTTTGTTTGGTACGGTAGTGTGTGTGTGTGTGTGTATGTGCATTTAAATCGGCCCAAAACGATTGAAAATGGCTGGCGCAATTGAAACTGACTGTTGAGAGCGTGAGAAATATCAGAGATATCATTTACAAAATGAAAATATGTGCAACAAAATATATTCAACGATGTGCCAACCAAACCACTTGAACATTGATTGCATCGCGCTCATCAGTCTCTTTGTCTGTGATCTGGTCTATGTGTATCAAGTGAAACGAATCGGTCGCTAAATGTGTGCAATTATGAAAACCACTGAAAATGATCGTTAACTAAAACAATTATAATTAATTGAAAAACTCACTGAAATTAATTACGATTAATCAAGCTTCGTTACTAAAGCGAGCTCGATTGTAATGCGCTTTCATGTGCATCACAAACTTTGCTCCGATTTCTAATAGCAGTTTTGCTATGGCCATTTCGAAAAAAAAACACCGTGCAACTTAGTAGTGCACACACATATATGTTAATAGAATGCATGAGTCTCGAGACGAATCTTAATTGTTGTTCTCCTTGAAAATCTACGATAATCAAATCTGTTTGAGTGACGGTGATTTCATTTACATCACGAAATTCAAATGATTTATTCAATCGCAGATTTTCATTTTTCGTTCAACCAAATTCGAGCGCATGAAATCTTCATTCAACCGGACAAATTCATTTTGCAAAGCGAATGAAATCGTTAAGAAGCTTTTCCTCTTTTATGCCCTAGAAAGTCATCTTATTAGCAATTTCATGTCGACAACGAAAGCGAACCATTGAAGAAAGTATAAGAGCATTAATTTGATTATACGAGAGTTATTTTGCTCAGCTGGTTTCTGGTGTATGCAATCAATCGCGTTAATCTATTGCAATCAGTTATACAGATAAACACTGACGATTTCTAATAACGAATGTGGCGTCGCAACGAATTTGAACGAATTAATAAATCACTCTTTTTCCAACGAAACATGATTCGCTGATTCTAACTTCTTCTAATTTTGAATAACATACAAAGAATACAAATTGAATTGGAGCATACGAGCATTTTGCAAATTTCGTTTAATGTTTTGATTTAAATCTAGTTGAAACTTGTTCATGTCAATTGTTGTCATTTCTAAATGAATTAAATAAACAGAACATGCATATGTCTATCATGTTTATGAAGTGTTCTAGTGCGCGGTTTTTTGCAACGCAATTTTTCGAGTGATCAATTTGCATTTGAATGCAGTGAATATTTGTAAAATTCCTGAATTGGTCACTGTTCGAATATTCGCCTTATACAAATTTAAAATGTTGAGTCATCATCATTTGATGATTTATTTGTATTGGCGGCTTTAAATAGCAAAAATTGTGTATCTTTGTTATTTTTAATTGATTTAGACTTTGGAGAAATAAATGCGACTCGGCATGCTTCTCGTGAAACCAATTGATTATTTGATTGAATGACATCGATGCCAACAATATCTGTTTTCATCATCGAATTCAGTTGCATGCACTCACAGTGGTTGATTTTCAATTGAAATCCAAGCACCCCGATGATCAGTTCTCTCTCTCTCTCTCTCTCTCTCTCTCTCTCTCTCTCTCTCTCTCTTTCGAAGTCTTGATTAAAATGATTATCTCTTGGTGTCAATGTACTTTCAATTCATCGTAAGAGAGCGTTAAAATGTGCATTTTTTCGATTTGACGATACGAATTTCGTGGATGGAACATAGCTTCTGACCATAGGTCCCAGTTAACAACACTCCCCTCTTTGGAGAATAGTTCGAGAAATGACCTTTTAGCAAATTTCAAGAAATTCTGTTGATTTTGTGAATTCTTTCAATTTTCTAGGGTTTTTGATGAAATTTTGGATCTTTTTGGTCATCAAGTTTTCGACGACCAAATGAACCCTTTGGATTTTTTGTAAAACTTTGGAATTAGTTCTCCTTGAACAATCGATTTCGATTGACGTAAAAAATGCTTATAATTAATTATTTGTGTTCGTCAAGATCATGGTCTATTCTAATAAAAGTTCTCACTTAAAATAGATTTCGTTGATTATGTTTATAGATTTTCAATTAGATAATTGTGTTGCGGTGCGTCGGAAAAGCGACCGATCACAACATAAATATCAATTGTCTGTTCTTAATTTAATATCTCATTCCGGACAAAAATTTTATCGCGCTTCGTCGGTTCTTCATAATGCATCAATTGAAGGGAAACAATAAGGAAAAAAAAGGAAAAGAAATAACAAAACAGCGCCGGGAAATCAAATGCATAAAACAATAGTCTATCTCTGTAATTCGGTGTGGTTGATGAATTAAAGCCTCGAATTAATGTCGAGCTGTATGATATTAAAAAATTATATCACTGTTTAGTGTTTGGATGTCATACCAGGGAATCAATTCAAAGATACAGATATACATAGTGTATAACGAACACTTCATAAAAAAACCGTCCATATTATTTATGTGAACCTGCATGTTTTCTGTCTCCTTTTTTTGACGATCGTCGAGAGAGAAAAAAAGTGCTCACATTCCGAATGAAGAAATAGTGAGCGAGAGTGTGTGTAATACATTGGCCGGGAATGAGAAACA